CCTCCCTCGTTCAAACTCCGTAAGTTGCTTGAATTTCTTATTCTTCCGTCGTGGAGGCATACTCAGGTCTCACTAAACGTTTGCCACTAACAAATAATCATAGACTATTTTCAACGTCCCGCTACAGCACTTTATTTATACGCTTTCAGCATCAATTCAGAGGGCGCTGCGCGCGCCACGCACGCGCGATGGCTCTGAAACTTTATTAATTTGCATAATATCCTATAATTGACATTTGCTGCGAATTTCATTTGATTCTGATGATTCCTTCATGGTGTTGCATTTTCTACAAACAGCAGTTTATATATATATATATATATATATATTTCCCTCAACAAAACTAAATGTAACGTTACGCTGAGTATCCGAAACAGAGGCGTTATTTTTTAATGTAGAGAGTTACGTCACTGTTTTAGTGCTAGGTCATTATTTATTCAAAGAAAAAAAGTCACTATGTTATATAACAAGGAAACTCCATTTATCCTCTCTTTATCACACATAACACGTGATCGGAGGCGTGCTTTTCACTCCAGTGAGTCTGCAACTTTTACTGAGTCTGTCTCCCAGCGTTGATATTGACACAACAAGGTAAACATTCGTATGCTTGAATATTTTTTATGCTATAGAAATTAAATATTTGTGTGATGCTTTGTCAAATTATTTAAATGATACTTCATTCTTTGAGCCAATTAATATATTATTTTTCTTTTCTAAAATATTAAAATTTAGGTTGTAAGATGCTATGGAGTTGATTTAAACCTACTGAGGGTCTTTTTTGTTTTACGTGTAAATTATTCTTATGATAAATACCGGTTTATTATAAAACAGCCTTTTTGAGCGCTATTACTCGCATTCTTTGTTATTTTTGCTACTAAAGAAATTTTAAAAATTTATTTGATAAATTTGTAAAAAATAATCCGAACATTTAGGAAATAAATCGTTTTAAAGTACCATGGATTCAAATGGTGTTATAATTTTTATTTTGATTATGTTTTTAGCTTTGGTCTTAAATATATATATATTTTTTGACGATAAAACTAGGTGGTTTCACTCAACTTCTGTAACTATTGCTTTTCAATAATTTTTTGTTTTTTGAGCAGATGATCAAAAACCCTTCGATCGGCAACTAGCTGTTGTGTCGACACTTTACTTTTATAAAACCCTGTTAGGAGTTTTTTTTCTCAACGAAACAAATTAACGAAGTATTGTGAGAAGTTAATTCCTTATAATGTTTAAAATTTCAAATATTTACTTTTTAGTCATTATTTTAATTGCATTCCTTGATTGAACAGAAATTTACAAACATTCGTTAAGAAATAAATATAACCTATCAAAAAGAAAATGTAACCAGTTTTTGTTAAATAATTATGAAATGGTAGTTAAATAGGTTTATCATAAATTATTGCGCAATAAGGTACTGTAATATAATTACTTTATAATATGACTCAGATTAGGATTTTAATTTTGAATAATAACTAAATTTGAAAATGTGATATTTGTCAATGGAAAAAGTATATTATTGACAATTTTATCTTTCCGTTTTAGTTTATTTGGGGGGATTATTTATTCATACAGAGCGTAATATTCAGAAAGGATTATAAATAAGCATTATCGTTAAGTACGGTATAAATAAATATTTTAAGGGTGAAAACAGTAAAATGTTTTAATAATTTTATGGTGACAGCCAAAAGTATCTGGATCGTTATTGTTTATGAGTGATTTTTTTCTGTCCAATGAAAATGCCCCAACTATAATCAGAAAAGGTTAGACAGCGGCTTTAGAAAATTATTTCTTTTATAATTTGTAGGAAATAAAAATATACATTTAAAACAACAAATTTGACTATACATATAACATTTTTGATAATACTTCTTTAATGGAAAAAATTCTAACTGACTTCTAACGTTAGATTAGAAGGGAAAGGAAAAAAAACGAATAAAAGACTACTTTTTATTATTATTAAAAACAATAATGTCTATAAAAATACAAAAGTAAAAGCGAAACCTAATCTTGAAGCATTGTTTGTTTAATTTCAAGGTCTTTGAGAGAAAAGAAAGGATATGTTAAAATATTTCTTTATCATTAAAATGTATAACGTAGTAACTCATAACAATTTTTTTTCCATTAAGTTTCCAGGAAATTGCTATTATCAGTTCCTTTATCATTAGCTATTCGTACACGATTGGCTAAATTGAATGTATATTTTCACCTTCACGATGAGCAATAATGTACTTGTTATTTTTTGTACTTAAAACTTTATAAAGGAGTTAACTTTATAAATGCTTTCTTTATATATAATTTACCATTCTATTCAAATTTCCAAACATATTCCAACAATTTTTTATGTTTTCATTTTATTAATTTTTTCAACAACAATGAATCGGAAAAATCCTAAAATAGCCCAATCCTTGGCGACTTTTTGAAATTTCGCCAAGTTAGCGATTATTACTTGGATCAACGTTGTTTCTTTTATTAAAAAACACTTTAAATTATTAAAAAATATTAAAATATTTTTAATAAAATAACTTACCTTTACTCTTATGGCTCATCTTTCGACACTCCGGCAAAAATCATGCGCAACTTCGCTCAATCCAAGCTTTCGACATCTCCATTCAAAACCATCCACCGTATCCTTTCGCTTTATCAAAGTCTCCACATTTTGGGCATTCATACGTTTTCGAAATTCAATTTTGATCCATACGCCATTCAATCATTGCTCTCTTGCCTCTTGCATTCAATAAAGTTGAAAATTCACTCGTCTATTCGCTCGCCATTTTCAACCGGTACCGCACAAAAAAGAATTTAAAAGATGAAATAAAGGTAACTCAATAAGAGATCATAAACGGAGTTTTCCTTTTTTCTAACGAAATCCTACATTGGTGTGGTATACATGTCACTTAACCAATCAGGTTTAAAAATTTTGGACCGGACTCCGAAAAGTTTAGGCAAAAAGTATTGGTTGACATAGGGTAAACTAACCAGTGAAGGAACACTTAAGCTTCGCTTGCCTTTTAAAAAATCATATTAATTTCAAAATTCGAAGTTTTACTTAAATGATAGTGTCAACATTTTTGTTACTAATTACAAATTACGTAAAAAAATTGTAGAGAACTTACATAATATTGTTTTAAAGTTTTGGTGGTTCAAATAACAAGTAATAAGAAGACCAAGTGAAGGAACAGCTCTTACCAGTGAATGAACACTGAGTAAAGGACACTTTATTTTGGTTATTTTTTAATGTTCTTTATGAATTTGTAAGCCATTCAAATATTTAAAAACAAGCCTATTATTGAAATTATAACATATAAATACTTGGATAAAGTTAAATTTTTTTTTGTAATCATGAATTAAAAATTAAAGTGTCAACATATTAGCACATACTGTTCATTCACTGGAAAATCTATGCCCAGTAAAGGAACATGCCTGTTCCCTCACTGGTTAGAAACTGTTTTTCGTATTTTTAACATACTTTTGATGCGGAACATCACTAAAGGAACAAGAAAATTAAAGTTTATCTTTTATTTTCATTAACTTAAAAAAAACCCAGTAAAGGAACACCTGTTCATTCACTGGTTTTTCATCGTTTAGTGATCCAGTGAATAAACACCCCCCTTATCTCAGTACTTTATTATGCTATGATGCTTTAAAAAAATAAAACGTAGCTTCAATAACTATATTTTGAATTCTCCTTTTCACACAGTGAGAAAAATAAAACTATTACGTGCAATCCACTTCAAGCATATGAATACAAACACTCACCTTATAATTTTTTCAAAGAAACAAGATGTTGCAGAGATAATAACAAATTCAAAAAAATTTACTGAGAAGTCTATTTGACCAGGTAACCCAAAACATTGCTAGATGACTTCCTATTGTTTGGCAGTAAGCTATTGTTACCAATCAATCTAAAGAAAAACTTTCAAATTCTTATTTTATTCAATATATATGAAATGTTCCTTCGCTGATTGGTTTACCCTATCTCCTCGAAATATCTTGCAGAAGCCTAGTTTGGCGCGGTATCAAAAAATCGCCATGGGGTAGGTTATTCTAGGACCCACCCTAATGAATCACATTCGTGTAATTTAGAAATATTAGAAAATTCTGTTAATTAGTGACATAGAGTTAGCATTGACTTAATATAATTTGAATTTTCTAGCTACAAATATGGCTTCAGTACCAAAAACTCACAAGAGGCTTATGGTGCACAAATTGACATCTAACTTCAGAGAAGCTGTTAAAACCGAAACAGCAGACGTGTGCAAGCCGAAGAAAGGTGAAGTGTGCATAAAAAATAAGTAAGTGTCATTGATAAAAAAGAATTACACTGAAAAATTTTCAAGAAAAAAAAAGATCCCTTACTTGACAAACACGACTATTCAATGACATTTAGATTCAAAAAAAAGATTTTTATAAATACTCTAAATAGAAACAATTTTATCAGCTATATAGAAGGCCATCTTGAAGCTAATACTATTATTTTATGCAACAATTTTAAAAATTAGAATAATTTTAATGATGGTTATAATTGTTGGCTTAATCTTTTATTAATATCCATGCTGAGTATAAAAATTTAGAATGACTATGAATTTTCAGGACCAATCTAATATCTTCTGAAAATATGTGAATTACGCATCCATTTTATTTAAATAACTTTTAAAGTCCTCTTTCGACAAGCTCAAGTTGATGTTCGTAATATCTTCGTCATCCGTAAACTTTGTTCTCTAAGCAAATTTTTTCAGTTTTTCGGGAACATAAAGTCTTCAACAGATTGATATGAAAACTATGGTGAATGATCCATTCTCCCTAAGCTTTAAAACCGGAAAATTTACTAAATGAATGTGGTTGAGGCATATCGAAGTTCTTAAGAAAACTCCAACGTCAGAATCAGTGGCTTACATAGACTTAAGTTGTTGTTATTGTAGTTCATTTACGTCGCACTAGAGCTGCACAATGGGCTATTGGCGACGGTCTGGGAAACATCCCTGAGGATGATCCGAAGACATGCCATCACAATTTTGATCCTCTGCAGAGGGGATGGCACCCCCGCTTCGGTAACCCAACTACCTGCACGCGAAGTCGAGCACTTTACTGTAGCACAGTTTAACGAGGACCAATACCGGTCACTACACAGACTGATCCAAGTGGTCACCCACCCTCACACTGACCGCAGCCAGTGATGCTTGACTTCGGTGATCTGCTGGGAACCGTGTCTTAACGATCAGTCCACTGCGGGACATAGACTTAGACACAACACAATTTTTTTACAATTATAATAGGAGATAAGAACACCGTAAGGAGACATTCGGGAATTTATAATCAATCATTTAAATTTATATTAATTAATGGATTTTAATTTAAATAATTTTAATATGAATTAATAAAGAGTTAATAATAGCGATGATAAGGTGGAATTTGCAAAAAGTAATACATTGGAACATTGTATACACTTACTGAGTAAAAACATTGAAATGAAATTTATCTTAATAATAAAAGGAAACAACTCACTATCGTAAAACAATTATATTCAATGTTTTGTTAAGGATTATCTTTATTTATAAAGTGAATTGAGAAATATCCCGTAAAATATAAAAATACTTTTATTGAAATATATACAGTAGGGTATACAATCTTTTTAAATGAAGGGTTACGTGCCTAAGTATTTAGATATTTTGACGGCAATCATGATAATTTTAATGTAAACATAAGTGTTTTAGATACAGTTCCTTTCATCAGTCAACTTAGTCATTCATTTGCATTAAATTGAATTCTTTTAAATAATTATAATTTTTATTTTATTATCTGAATTTTTTTAATTAATTCTTTTTTTCTTCTTTTTATCAGTCAACTTGGTATATACTTGTATTAAATTCTTTTTAACAATAAAAACTGAAAAAACCTAACTGATACTCTTCAAAATAAAAATATTTTCTTTTTATCTAAAAAAAAAAAAAGATTGGGAGAAAGTGACGGCTTTTAATTACATCGCGTAACACAAAAGTGTATTTTAAACTAAATCAACTGTAATGTTCATAAATAAAGGTGCTTTTAATTACACCGTTTTATTACTTTAATTACATCGCGATGGCTTTTAATTACATCGCGTAGCACAAAAGTGTATTTTAAACTAAATCAACGGTAATGCTCATAAATAAAGGTGTTTTTAATTACATCGTTTTATTACTTTAATTACATCGCGATGGCTTTTAATTACATCGCGTAACACAAAAGTGTATTTTAAACTAAATCAACGGTAGTGCTCATAAATAAAGGTGTTTATAATTACATCGTTTTATTACTTTAATTACATCGCGATGGCTTTTAATTACATCGCGTAACACAAAAGTGCTAAATCAACGGTAATGCTCATAAGTAAAGGTGCTTATAATTACATCGTTTTATTACTTTAATTACATCGCGATGGCTTTTAATTACATCGTGTAACACAAAAGTGTATTTTAAACTAAATCAACGGTAATGCTCATAAATAAAGGTGTTTATAATTACATCGTTTTATTACTTTAATTACATCGCGATGGCTTTTAATCACATCGCGTAACACAAAAGTGTATTTTAAACTAAATCAACGGTAATGTTCATAAATAAAGGTGTTTTTAATTACATCGTTTTATTACTTTAATTACATCGTGATGGCTTTTAATTACATCACGCAACACAAAAGTGTATTTTAAACTAAATCAACGGTAATGTTCATAAATAAAGGTAAAAAATTAAAAAAAGAAAAATATTTTATTGAGCAACATAACTGTAAATTAAATATTTTAATTAAAGAAATCATAAGGGGTCCAAAATGTTTTAAAATGCAGCAAAGCATTATAGCTCAAAATAAGATTCAACATTCAGTTGGGATAAAGTTCAATATATTTTTATCCTTAGGCAATTGATATTTAGCGAATTATAAGAGATTTTATGAATGTTAAATATTGAAATTGTTTTTTTTTTAAAATTATTTTTTAAGTTACCAAAAATTAGAAGAAAAAAAAACTCAAAAATATAGTAAACAGTTTAATTCTCACCGTCGAATTTCGCATTTTGTAATAATATTGTTGTGTTAAAAAATCAAAACATGAAAAAAGGATTGTAAAATAACATGAAAAAACAATGAAATCAGCAGAAATAAAGCACACCGAAATCAATGATTAACATGCCTGATTCAAATATCGCATGTCATTTTAATACTGTATTAAAAATATTATGATTTTCAAAACCACGTGGAAAAACTTATCAATAACTGTTGAAAGAACAATAAAAAAAATCTTAGATTTATAATGAAATTAGCACAAATAAAGCGCATACATTTGAATGCACGATTTGAGTGTCGTATTAATTAATAAATATTAAAAATATGGCTATTTTCTAAACCATGTGGAAATGCGTAATGTCGAAAACAAGCAATAAAAAAATCACTTAGATTTCAGATAAAATTTGCACAAATGAAACATGGCAAAAGTGATTACTATTTGCAGAATTCGAAAGTCGCGAGTCGTTATAATATCGAATTAAAAAATTGGGATTTTTACGAAACAATTGGAAAACCGAGAATAACTCCAGCAAACACAATCTAAAAGTCACTTGGTTTAACTATGAAATGGACTGAAATAGCTTTAAAAGTGATTATTAAAATTCGAAATTCACGTATCATAACATGTTTTAAAAATACTTTTTAAAAAAAAAACTCACTTAGTTTCATTTCCTTAAACTAAAACAGGGCATGCAAAGTCTATAACTTTTTCTAACATTATTTTGAATGATTTTCAAATAATTCTACAAAATACTAACATTAACAGCACATTTAGCGCTGTTTGAATATTTTCAACACTCTAAATCATTTTTATTCTAGAAACCTAGATTGTATAAGAACTGCATCATGTGCAACATGAAGTTAATTAAAAGAATAGTTTTATGTTACGTTTATTTATTTTATGTCTGTAGTTAGCCATAATCTCCACTTAAAGCGCTTAGAAGAAACCGATTCTGCGATATAATTGCCTATCAAATTTAAATAGATAATTTTAAAACAATTGCTTTGACTTTTAAATTTGAGAGCTATTAAAATTATGTTGCGTTAAAAGTGAATAAGGAATAATGTTTTCCTTAATCGCTGTAGTCAAGGTGTTTCGTTATGACCGCCCTTAAAACAAATGTTTTGCCCTTCATGAAATTTAAAGAAAAAAAGCCATGCACAGTGTTTAAGCTCGAAATCTAACGATTCGCTACAGTGGTAAGCAGGACTGAAAACAGCGGAACCAATATAATATATGCTAACCAATATAACGGAATACTATATAACGGAGTCAATATAACGGAACTAATATGATGCCTAATGTAATTTGTAGGTATTTCTAACAATCGCCTCTCATCTCTGCTTTCAACGACATTCATATAAATTTTGGTAATTTAAGTTACCCTTTTCTCTGAAGTAGCATGTGGGATTTTAATAGAATTTTCTTTTTACTTCATTTAAATTTTAATTTGAATATTTATATTAAAAATTTTGTTTATTTTAAAACAATTTAACATATTCTGCAAAAATGAATTAATAGTATTGAAAAAACTTACAAAAATTCGAAATTGCTCTAGAATTGCAATTAAATATCTGTAAGTCGATTCTTTACATTTCATTATTTAGTTCTTTACATTTTATTATTAGTTTTATTATTTAGTAAAATTAATAAGTTCAAAATTGTCTTTAAGTATATTAGAATTCAAGTGTGTTGCTCTTTTTGGATAACAGAATGGCATATGTTAACTTTCAAAATTTACTTCTAAAAGAACAGAAACTACGGTTTCTTTCATGTTTTAAACATTTCTTTCTTTATTTTGTTCAGATACTGTAGATAAATATCTAAATATCTAAATAAAAAAATAATTTCTTTTATATTTAATTACTTAGATTAATTTATTTATTATTTTGTTGTTATGAGACAATTTTGAATTCAGCATCAATATATGCGCATTTAGAACATCTATGTTTGATCTCCTATTGCTCCAGCGTTCCTCTTTAAATATGAACGAAATTATTAGTTAATGTATCCGCTCTATTTATTTAATTTTTTGCTTTTTAGATATGTTGGAATTAATGCAACTGACGTTAACATGACTAAAGGAAGATATTTTGTGTCCGGAAAAGTACCATTTGGAGTAGGCCTTGAGGTAATTATATGTCCCATTTGTTTTGCCTTTCATTTTTTATTTATTTATTTTGTCAAGAAAGCCAGAGTGTAAATAGGAAAAGAGAATACGCTAAGATTTGATGCATATTGAAAATTTTAATGTGAATTAAATTAATAATTAATAGAATGACAGCTCGTCTTAAATATTTTTTAAAACATTTCCTGAAATAAACTTTTATTTTTAAAATAGTGATAAAAATAAGTTAAAATTTTTTTTTCTTGCATCATAAATGCGAATATGCATTAAACTATCAAATATAATATTTAATAGACTATAAACTTAGGGTTGTAATTAGGAAACTATACCTGATTAAACAGTTCTGGTTACGTTACTCTTATTTAAAAATGTCGAGATGAAAGTTGTGAATATGTAGTTTTATAAACACCAGATTGTAAGACCATTGCTCATAAAATTTCGCTCTTAACCTTAAACAACTTATAGATTTAAAGATTAAATAGCTTAAAAGTTACTAAGTTAACTCTTTTCAGTTTTATGCTATAAGTAAGGAAAATATAAGTTAATAAGTTTTGAATTTGAAATATTTGTTCCTTATAAAATTACATTTAATACACTAAATGACGTTACATCCAAAATGCTGCGAAGGCATGATTATTTGAGAAATAATTTTAAAATATTTCATTCCTGTAATGTGTCTGCTGTGTTTAAAATGCATAAATAACTTGTGTGTTTGTTTTTTCGTAATTTCAGAAATCAAAATTTTGATTATTTTCATCATGCATTTTAGAGATAGTAAAATCTCTTAGCACTCGTAGGAACAATCTTGGATTGTTCGGATTGGGGTTTTGGGGTAGATCTAGTCCTGCTTTTATTATCATAGCATGTCATGGAACAGATAAATGGAATAAACGGAGATGCGAGAATTTTTTTCCACTCCATTTGATACTTTAGTACTTGATAAAGTATGCTTTCAATTGTACACTGCGAAAAAAATTTACTACCCCGAATAACTTGTTATCTATTGATTGGATCTTCACGTTCTGGGAACCAATCTTAATGGTTCAAGGGGTGACTTCAAATATGCTAATTAATTAGTGCAAACGATATTTCAAGCTACGAAATCAGACACAAAAACTTAATTTCTCTGAATAAACATACATTTCTTTCCAACAGATTCAGATTTCTAAGCCCAAAATATGAGGGGTAGCAGCATTCTGGGAAATATGGTCCCAATGGTTTGGTCAGGTGAGGGATTCAAAGTTTGGATTCCCTTATGCTAATTTGATTTTTGCGTATTTCGCTATATATCAACAACTTTTTAAGCGAATTGAAATATTCTTGCACACAATTATAAAAATATATACAATACAGATAATAACAATTATTCGAAATTTGAGCGAAACGGTCGAACAGTTCCTGAAAAATCAAATTTAAGGAAGTCATGTATTTAAAATTCGATTCCTCAGGAGCTCTTCGACCGATTTCACTCGAATTTTGTAATTTGTTATTTCAAATTACGTACCTTAAAATGATGCAAAAAGTTGCATATCATGCAATTTAAAATTTTACCAATTATTATTTAATAAATAATAATAAATATTTTTAAAAAAAATCATTTTTTGCATGGAATTATCTTTTGACAAACGAATTTTATAATTGTTAGTAAAAATTTTTCAATTCACTTAAAAAGTTCCCGAGATATAGTGAAGTACTCAAAAAGTAAAATTAACATTAAAGGGTCCAGACTTTTGACCCCTCTCCTGACCAAACTATTGGGACCATATTTCCCAGAATGCGACCTATAATTTGGTGTCAGAAATCCGAATGCGTTGAGAAAAAGGTATGCTTATTCATAGAAAGTACGTTTTTGTGTCTGATTTCGTAACTTACAATATCGTCAGCTTTAATTAATTACCATATTTGAGGTCACCCCCTCGAACCATTAAGATTGGATCCAAGAATGTGAAAATTCGATCATTCGACCAAAAGTTATTCAGAGTTGTCCGTTTATTTTTGGCACCCTGTGCATTCCAAGATACTTATTAAAATTTCATCGAAATTTATTTAAAAAATTCCGCAAAATTAACGAAAAACACTTTTTATTTCTATTTATATTGGAATATTAAGTTTTGTCTTTTGAATTTATAGTTGTAAATACTGCTTTTAATTTATCTGTAAATGTTTCTTTTTTTATTTTAATGTTTGTTCTATTTTTAGGGGATTGGAGAAGTAGCAGAAGTTGGTGAAGGTGTGGAACACTTAAAAGTCGGACAAACTGTAGCTTATATAAATGGAAATTCAAATTCTTACGCTGAGTATTCTGTAAATAGATTTTATTTGCTTATTAAAACTCAAAAAAATTCTTAATTTAAATTACTCATTAAAATTTTGAAACGATATTTATTCGAGTGTATAAAAAGTACCTTGAGTTAAGTTAATTTTTTTTATATTTCTATAATTATTTTTACCTAATTATTATTTGTAAATTATTTATCTGTCAGTGTCATATTCACGTAGTTAATATTCAAAAATGCAATATTAAGTAAAAGCATGAAAAGGTTATTCTGTTCGGAAAAAAAAACTCTATGTGGTTATAGACGATTATATAGGATGCGGAAATGGAGTAAAATATTTCGGAAAATACTCATTGGATCAAAATAAAAATAAATAAATAAAAATATGCCTGTGAAGTATTTTCAGAAGTTACATTATTGGCGCCAACTTATCAATGACACCAAACTAATTTAATGACACTAAACTCGACACTATTCCCAAAACTAGGCAAAGCCCAAGCAGTCCCCTTATCATTAGTTATTGTCAGAGACAGGCGTTAAGTTTGGTGATATTATTATATAGGTTTCAAATATACCAAATAATCTATTTTCTCGATCTGATATTTATTTCTCGAGATATCTCTATTTTTTTGTCCTGTAATGTGAATTGTGAACCAAAATGTGAAAACATGTGAGTCAAATTGAGTTAATTCTTTCTGTAAAATATAAATCTTCATTAAAAAAATAAAGCATTTTTAAGTTCTTTACAACTCTCAAGGAATGTGATTAGAATAGAAGGTGCTGTTTGGTATCATTGAATATAAACATATAAAATATTTGTATTTTAAGATTCTTGATCCGAAGTGTTTTTCTCAAGAAATTTGGTAATCTCCATACATTTTATACATATTGTATGTTTATAGACAAGAACTTAGAGGAATAGTTTGATTTTTTTTGCATTTCTTAAAAAAAGACTTCAGCAGCTTAAACTGTCAGTCAGTTGCTTACACAAAGCATTGCATTAAAGTGAGAAAAAATTCATCATGAAGTGAGTCTTCTAAAAAGTGAGTGTTTATATGCACAACAAGTTTTTAAAAATAAAAAAGACTCTTATTTAAAAACTAAACGTTCATTTTTAACATAACATTTTCAATCAAATGCATGAAAAATCTAAAAATTGCAATTAAAATTTCATAGTGATTTCAGTTGCAAAGAAAACATCAAAACCATCGGTAATTTCGGAAGAAACAGAATGGTTTTATAAAATATTTAAACAAAATTTTTAAACCTGTTTGTTAAACTGTGTTCTTCAAGACTAGGCAATAGTTACTCATATATAGTTTACCCATGATTAATTTTCATTCTGATATTTCAGTGTGTGCCAGCCATGGGCACTTTTCCCGTACCTGATACAAAACCAGAATATATAGCACTCCTCGTGAGTGGTCTGACAGCTTCAATAAGTTTAGATAAAGTAAGTCCTTAATTTTTTCACACCTTCAGTTTAAGTTTCATGAGCAGGTCATAGAAAAAAGATAACACATATTTTATTTTGTTTCGCACTATCTGACAAAATGCATCCGAACACCCAGTGGTATGGACTCAGTTGCTGCAGTTAATTTACGTCGCACTAGAGCTGCACAATGGGCTATTGGCGACGGTCTGGGAAACATCCCTGAGGATGATCCGAAGATAAGCCATCACAATTTTGATCCTCTGCAGAGGGGATTACACCCCCACTTCTGTAGCTCAACGACCTGCACGTGAAGTCTAGCACTTTACGATAGAACAGTTTAACGAGGACCAATACCGCACACCCTCGGTCCCTATGCATACTGATCCAAGTGGTCACCCACCCGCACACTGACCGCAGCCAGTGATGCTTGACTTCGGTGATCTGCTGGGAACTGTGTCTTAACAATCAGTCCACTGCGGGACGTGGTATGGACTCAGAGACTTCTGATGCATAGAATAATGTTGTTCCAATCGATAACAGTCTAATCATGTCTAGGGAGATTTTACACAATTTTTTGACAGGTGAGCACAGCTGTAATGTATACTGAAAGTGAGGATGGCCAATTCGGCTGGATATTTATCTACGTTATAGTTTGTTCTAAATGTATTCTACGAAACTGAGATTAGAGATTTGAGAAGACCAGGCCAGGCTTTGAACACCCATTTTGCCAAAGCATGGCTGCGCTAGTCTCGACGTGTGAATGGAGAAGTAATCTTTCAGGTAGAGAAATGGGTTTTCCTTGAAATATTGTCATAGAATTGAGAGCAGCATTGCCGCCGAGAATGTCGAAAAATATCTCAGAGTTTATGCTTTTAACCACAGGAACTAAGAGATTTAGAGAAAATCACTATCTACCAATAAGTATTTGAACACGTGTGATTGAAAAGAAAAACAAACTTTATTCATAATCAATAATTGGTAAAGCCTCCACGAGAGGCAATTACAGCGTGAATCCACCTGGGCATACTTTCCACAAGTCCTTGTGTGACGGATAGTGGTATTTTCTTCCAATCGGCTTGGAGAAGATATGTAAGTTTGTTCACCGACTTTGGACTGGTAGTACACCTTAATTCGGTGATTCAACTCGCCCCAGAGGTTCTCGATAGGGTTCAGGCCTGGACTCTGGGCAAGCCAGTTCATTCTATTAACCCCATTGGCACCATACCAAGCCTTGGTGACCCTCGCAATAGGACAGCTGGCATTGTCGTCCTGGAAGTAACAGGAATCCACCCCGTAAAACTGCCACAACATAGGAAGCACATTGTCATCAAAAATAGTGCAGTAGGCATCTTGCATGGGACTAATGCCCATATTGTTTCTTACACGATATATACCGGCGGAGGGCGTGACGTATCTCAGGAACTATAGTCATTTGCATAGATGTCCAAATACTTATTGGTAGGTAGTGTATAATTGTAACCGATATTGACTTGTTTAAATGCATTTGTTTTCAAAACAGAGGAAACAAATGTGAATAAATTTTTAGTATTGCTACTTACATGAAGTTATGCTATTATTGGTACCAGGAAACAAAATGCACGCACTTTCGAAATAATAACAAAAACAAGGTAACTAATAAAATTTAATCAGAACTCTTAGTAAGATAGTTTGAATTTTGAAGACATATAAAGATGATATGCAAAGATAATTAGAGGCTGGAAGATGTCCGTTTCTAGAGAATAAATTAATTTTGGAGGATAGGTTGATGCTAGAAGATAAGTTGATTCTTATGAGCAATAAGCTGAATCCAAGATTAGCTAAGAATCACCAGGAGGGGGGCTTCCGCGGAAAGGCAAAAGGATCTATGCCTTATTATATTACTTTTGATAATATTACAGGATTTACAAAATAGATTAATATGTCCCTTTATATGGATATTTCTGCCAATCGGACGGGAAATCCGGGCATGACCCTTAAGATGCTTAGTTCTAAATAAATTATCAACATTACCTTCAATCATAAATAAGTAAAAAAATTAAATGAACTACATAAATGAATCTTGAAAAAGTGTATTAAAAATTTCTGGAAATACAATTATCTATTATAATTATGGAAAAAATCCACTATTTTACCAAGTTCCTGAAGAAATCTATCATCTCACGAAAAAGGAAAGAGTAAAATCATCTTAACTCTTATTTTCTAAAGTAGAGTCGGAGATTTTTTCCCAAGATTTTTTAAAAGTTTTAAAGTGTACTTTTGATCAAATGATGAAGAATTATAATATGTGTATTTTATATGTAAAATAGCCGAAAATAAATTATTTTATTCAAACGACACTTGCTTGCAGTATTTACTTGGCACAGTTCCTACTAAATGAATGTTTTACTTTATTTTATTATAGTGTGGTCGCATCGTGGCTGGAGAGACAGTATTAATCACGGCTGCAGCAGGAGGTACTGGCCATATAGCCGTAAGCCATTTTTTTTGTCTCTGTATAAACTTTAAACAAAATTTTAAACATTTATCGATAATTTTTGTTTGTGGAAATTTTACAACTGTATAAATATTTGTTATGTTTATTGCTAACAGTTTGAGCAGTTTTCAAACATCGTCTCTTAGATTAACTTAACAATAAAATCGATTGTTAGTTTAAAAAAGAATGAACTTTTATACTTTGTTCACGCCACAGATGAATATACAATTTGTGGCATTCCACAAGGTCACATTTTTTTTTCTCTTTAATATTTAGCTAGTTGATTTTCTATAAGATGATCGATTAGTTCAGATCAAAATAACTAATTTGTAATGCAAAATATGGCAGCAGCAATTCTGCTGCAATTTTTTATGTTTACTTTTAAAATTGATAGTTGTGTTTGCTAAGCCATTTGAGTTTCTCTGAATATTGTATAAATATTTCTGTTTTAAAATAAATTATGGAAATTTGTATTTGAGCATGGCCTTTGTATACTTTATTAAATGTTAAGTCAGATAAAACGATTATAATTCTTATTAAAAAGATCAGATGAATTACATTTTGCAAAACTGAAATTAAAAATCGATTTCATTTATCACATTTTATTAAAGTCTTAAAAAAAAGCCGTTAAAAGTTGAACTATATCATCGTCATTTTAGACAATAATAGGATACAAATTTGCTGTAACTTTCATGTCTTTGATGCATTATTTGTATTAAACATATTTTTCATACTTTTTTTCATTATTTTGTATTAATTTAGGTCAAAATAACTGAAAAATACTATATTTAGCATTTTAATATTTTATGGTTATGAAATACAGCAGGAAACACTGGTGTCTTTTTCTGCGTTAGAACTAAAATCTTCTAAGCAGTAATTTTCTAATTTCCATTTATTTGCGGTCATTTAGATCTAAGAGAAACATAGATTTATAATTGAAATTTCCTCAATTTTCAAAATCATGATACATTTTTGAATATGAATGAAAAAAAATTCAAACGACTTTTCAGACTTAACATTTTAAACAAATATAATTCCGATAATATAACAGATTTATTTTAGTAATTATTAGACTTTTTTATCATTAAAAATAATAAAATGTACTTTTGCTTGTAATTAGAGTGCCATATTTCTGTTTAAGTTAGTACAGTATCAAGTAATCAAGCTTATAAACTGTTTTAATATAGTACAACTTATCAAAGTATGGTTGAAGCAAATCAGAATGATCTTACTATTCTAAACGCTCTGAAATTTCTAACAGTATACTGTAAAAATTTCAGTAACTAATGCAATAATTTTTTTAAAATTGTTTAAATACTCAGTTTCCAAAATTTTTGACGTTGGTTTTCTCGTATTCAGCCAAAGATGCATAGCGCTACACTATGCAAATATTTTTCTTGCTGCTTTATAAATATCGAAAAATTTCTTTTCTAGGTTCAGTGGGCAAAGGCGGCTGAATGTCATGTCATTGGTACTTGTTCAACACCAGAAAAAGAAAAACTTTTGAAGGTATTTATATGATAAAAATATCTATGTAAAACTGTGTTAATACATTTTTCTATACTTTGCACTCTATCATTTAAGCATTAAAAGATTGACGGTTTTATAGTTAGAACATAGGTAAAGGTATGCTTCGATCTTCTTCTTTAACAACACTACAGCGAAGAGCAGGGCAAGGCTTTCTTAGTCTGCCTCCTCCAGACTGTTCAATTTGAAGCTAGATACTTTAGTTTACAAACGGTATGATGCTTCTATGCTATCTATAAACTACTTAATAATAAAAATAATAAAATACATAACGTAATGATAAGTAATAATAACAAAAAATTTCTTTTTCTGATAATTTTCTTTTGTTAAAAAATAATAGCAAATCAGATTGCAAATCGCTGTACAAAAACCAGTCTGATAAAATTTTTTTATTTTCTTTAAAAATAAAATATTTTCGGGATAAGGAATGTAATATTCATGTTCTTAGTTTTTTTTTAAAAAAAATAAAGCATTAATCGAAATACAAATAGCAGATTATTAGATATTATTTGTCTAATTGTAATCTAACTAATTGAAAGTTGAATTAAAGTTTTGAGTGCAAATTCTCTCTCCATCTTGACTAGATTAACATTTTTGAAATTAAGCATTCCTAAAATATAATTAAAGTTATGTAATGCATTTTTTCATATGATTGTTTTAAAAATAAAAGATTTCAAACTAGTAATGAATTTTCTTTTTGACCTTTGAAATTATAACTTAACCAAAATTGTTAAAAATATTTGCATTTATAATATGTAAAAATAATCTTTTTTTTAAAAAGGAACTTGGCTGTGATCGTGTAATTAACTACAAAACAGAAAATTTGGATGAAGTTTTAACCAAGGAATATAAGGTAAAAATTAATTATGTCCTCACTTGAATGATTGTTTTTTAAAAAATGGGGTGTTAATTTTAAATAACAGATTCAATTGAATGTGGATATAAAAAGCGCTAGGTTTAATAGTGATTACACTGGGTCAAACACAAACGAAATTACATGATGACGTAATAAAATCGAAAGGTTTCTTTTTTTTGTAGTAGTCCAGGAAGGTTTGAAAGTTTTGAAGTTTTTTTTGATGCTAAGTACCCAATGGTTCAACTTAAATTACTAAAAGTTTGAATAAAAACTTTAGAAGTAAAAAATAGTAATTTTTGAAATGTTACACTGTAGCAATTTTTACTGAAATAATCAAGGTTATTGTTTTAATATTATTCAGGGTTATTCTTTTTGTAATAAAAGAGTTTTTTCTTGTGTATACTTTAACTCCATAATTATCAGCAATTTCTACCAAATTTACAAGCAGATTGTTTCTTAATGAATGTTTGAAATAAAAATTTTTAAAAACCTTGAAAAAATTTCTTAATTAAAAGTCTCAAAAAAATATTTAGACCAGGAAAGAGAAGAAAATGAAAAGAAAATCAAATCTTATGAGTAATTGACGAAAAAAGAGAGGTTACAAAGACCGAAACCAGTTTTTTTACCTGGGGAATACAAGGAAAGGGAAGTATATCATTAGATTTTCTTTCAAGCTCCATCTAGCAATCAAACTCGTCTTATGGTAATAACTTATAAGTACTCTTTTTCTCTAATTATATCAAAGAGAGAAAATATCAAATGTCCACTTCACACTGTTATCTATATTTTATTAGGTTCAATTTAAAAGTAATATTCAAAATAGAAAAGTAGTTGAATTTAAAAGCAAAAGTGCCTCTGTCCAGAAGAAAAACGTTAAATCTAATTAATTACTTACTAATTTATTTGCGTTAAGCAAATATTTCAATATATACAACTTATGAATTCAGTTTTTCTATAATAATAAATATAAATTCTATAATATAAATATAGATTTTAATAATTTTTTGTTATTTTGAGTTTTTAATTTTTAAATATTTTTAAAATTCATTAAATAGAACAAAATATTTTCAGTCGGGATTTTTTTAATTAATTTCCTGTTGATTTTAAATGGATAAATATTGTGGAAGGTAAAGATGAATTAGTGCAGACAGGGATTGATAGCAAACGGTGTTTTATAAATGCCATTTTTAGAATATTTAACAAAAGAGCTAACTTAACTATTTAAAATTTTGGTTGACTATTAAGTAACATATTAACATTTTTCTCCAGGAAGGTGTCAATGTTGTTTGGGAAACAATAGGCGGAGAAGTTTTCCAAACTTGCCTGAAACATCTCTCAATTAAAGGAAGAATGGTTGTTGTTGGAGGAATTTCAGGTTATAAAACAGAAGATCAACAAATGAAATGGAATGCTGAATTGTCCACATTGCCTGCTCAAGTAATGCATTTTATATATTTTTTAAACAAATTAACAACAAAAAAAAGCTTTGGAATGTTTCTTATTTCTACATTTAGAATACTGCTTCTACTCAACGAGACTATAAAAACAAAAAACTTTAATATTGTTGGAAAACACTTTTATTTAAATTTCTAACAATTTTGCAATTAAATAATTTTACAATTAAGTAATTTCACTATAACGTAGTTTTACAATTGAAAAATTTTACAATTAAACTTTCTAAGTGTTATCTAAAAATTTATCTAAAGATATATTACTAATGACATGGGTTCATCAGTTTTTATTTTTTCTCCTTTTTCCTTGATGATTTTCTTTTCAATTTTAATTTTTTATAAAGAAATACTTTCAACAATTTTATATGAAAATTTTCTGCTGGTGGAAATATTCCATAACTTTTAGAAATATAATCTTAAAATTAAAGTAGATTTTAAAGGGAATGTTATGTAAGGGAATGTTATGTAAGGGAATGAATGAATGTTGTGAACAGGTGAAAAGAATACTCAAGGTACACATTTTAAATAATTAAGGTATTTTAGTGCTTGTAAATATAATCATTTGTCCACTTATGCATATTAATTCGTTTTCTTTTCCGAGAAATGTAGGATTAAGGAGTGCATTAATACTCATATTAATATATTAAAAACAATCCAAAATAAAAAAAAATTACAGTTTGAAAATTTTAGTTTACTAAGTTATCTCAGCAAATTTTTAGAAAATTTTTAAGCAAATAGACTTCAGTGTTAATATATTATATACCTTGAATTATCTTTAATTTGAAAATCAATATTGACTTCTTTCACTCTGTTACATAACTGACAATTCTGTAACTAAAGTTCCGTGCAACGTGGAAGTTGGAAAAGAAGGTATCAGCTCAGTTACTGACTATGTTGCCTAACATGTGTCAAAATGAGATTTTAATACATCTAACTGAAATGGATACTTTACCCCCGTAATTTGCAGTTGTAGTCTGAATATAAGTCTGTCCACCAAGAAAAGACTCTTTATAAACGGTTGGAGTCTTTTAGTTAAAAATTGGGCTCTATGATAAGTGAAACCATTGGAAGATAAAAGTAACAATGATAAATGGGTCAAATAGTTATGCCAATAATAGTGGTTCCATAGTTCAAGCTTTGCAGTTCTATAGCACTGCATCCGGCGTTAAAATGGACTTTGTTGTCTGAAGCTTAACCGTATTTTAATTGTGAAAGTATAGTATAAAGAAATGAGCCCCGACCTCCGAAAGGGACTGGCTCATGCGGAAGCTAGTTGAAATGCGCAGCGGAGTACCCGGCCAATTAGACCACTTCCGTAATGATGTGATGAATATTGATTGAAAAAAGTAATTCTACATGAAGTATTAGAATGCAGATGCTGAAATTCTTCATGTACTTGATACCCGAGGGTGACTAGCTGAAAAAAGTTGGCTCGCAGTAATCCGACATGATTTCTGATATCAGTTCATAAATCAAGCACTGAAGCTACCCCAGCAAGTGAAGGAACATTAAATTACTTCCATTTTATTTTCTGTGGAGTATTTCTCTCAGATTTGTGCGAATTTCTTTGGACAAGAGGCTATCTAGAAGCTGAGAGACGTTGTTTATACCCTCACCAGGGACCAACATTTAAGTTATTAAAACAAAACCATCTAAAATATAAACATCGTCCGCCCCTTCCTCTGAAGGCCGCGGAAAAATTATGAAACGTTGACCAGTTCGATAAAACAGATGGGGATCACTGGTGTAAAGAATAAACTACTCAAGCTAATTTCTAAAATACTTCATTAGTCTATTAGAATTGTTAAGAATTTGAAAAAATTAACTTCATTTACAATAATTTGGTGATGACGATAGTTACAATAAAATGTATTTCTTATATTTATTACTTTATTGCTTGCAGCTTCTGACAAAGTCAACTGCTGTTCAAGGTTTTCTTTTGACTCATTACATGGATTGTTTCCCGACCTACTATAAGTATTTGAGCGAACACCTTCAGAGTGGAAAGTTAAGAATTGTAATTGATACAGGGTCCAAAACAGCTGATGGAGAATTTCTCGGAATGGAAGGAATAATAAGAGGAGTAGAAGTGAGTAAATACACTTTTAAATTATTCTGATTTGTAGTAAATGCGTTTATTGATGTTTAATTATTGTAGAGTAGACATTGAAGTGAAGTTAAGTGACAGAAACAAAATTTGATTTGAGAAGAAAACAAAACGAATGGGTGTCTTTACAATGACTACTAAAATCGTACAATGGATTCTATAGTTGCTTTATTTTCAAAACAAGATCTAAGGATTTGAACATAAAAACTTTACTTGTATAAAAATAATGATGCTTAAGCTGCGAACATTATATTCATTTATTCAATGATTTGCTTCAAAGAAAAAACTAATTTTTTTTTATCAATTAACTCATTTTTAATGTACATTCCTAAATTTCATAATGTAAATCAATCGATAACAAATTTATGTACTCGCAATATACAACTAAATATTTAAATTGCAATGCAATAATTCATCATATTTTCTTCTGATGTAAAAATACATCGATATCTTATTTTCACAAGTGGTTTAAAAATACAATATTTTCAGTGTCATAAAGAGAGGATAGAACGTATTTAATTTATCTGAATATATTGCAAATATTTACAAGTAAATTGAAAACATGCCTTCAATTTACTTGTAAATATTTGCAATATATTTAAAGCAATATATAATGACTCAAATAACTCATTTTCAATGTCAACTTCTTAATTTTATAATGTAAATTAATCAAAAACAGATTGAGGTTAATAGCAAAATACCACCAAATCTAAGCCAAAATAAGCTTTTAATTTATTTATTATTTTTTTTAGCTAGAAAAATGGCAAAAAAAGATTAGGAAATGAATGAGATGTAAAACATTTATTTCCATGAATTTATTTTCCGAGTCTATTGGAATTAAATTTAAACATATTCATTCTGCTCTGTTACTATAACAAATTCATCTATTGACTCGATTTTGGAATTTCTACTTTAATTTTTCGACTATAATAACGCATTGAATGCTTTTTGTCAAAACAATTTTAGCAGCTATGCGAACAGTTCAGTCTCTAGAATTTTAAAAATTTATTTTGCATTCATCATTTAAATTGAATACGTTGAAAATAAAATTGTTTCAAACTTAATCCAATTTCATTACTCTTTAGTAATTGTGAAATGGTACAAGTTACTACCTTTATAATAAGGTCATTTATGCGAATATCTTTAAAATAAGGTCATTAATGGGAATATTATGATGGCAAAATTGATGGCCATTAATGGCAAAAAATAATAAATGAGAAAAACCATTTCACTTTAAATCCTCTGATTTTGAATAAATTTATATAATAATATTAATTAATTTTATCCCCGGTGTTGAACAGCCGATCCGATTCCGAATTTACGAGTCAACTCCGTTGCCTCGTCATTTTGAACCTATCCCAGGAGACAAACGAATTCTGGACTGGAATCCAAACTGGCTTCCGGGAAAGACTTTTTGATGGGACCTACCCGCATTTGCATTACATTGAGAGGAAAACCACGAAAACCTCCCATAGTTTGCGCAACGGCAAGGAGATTCAAACTCATAAGGCGTTTGCCAATGACGATATTTTACGTCAACACTGTGGCCTGTAGTAGAATTCGTATCGGCCAGTCCTCCCTCATTTTGGAGGTGAATTCTTTATCCCTTGAGCCACTGTGATTCTTAGAATAATATTAAGAGCAAGTACGATTGAATATTATAAATAAGTATTTTAAGGTAAATACTGTTTAATTTTTTATACGGTAGGGATTCACTTTCTGCATTAAAGATCATGTGTGACTTTTATGTCTATGGAGAATGCAAGAAACAATTATCTCAATAAAAAATTTATGAACTGTTAGTAAATTTATAAACAATCCTCATTAAACTTTCTTCTACTTCCCCGCTTGAATCTTCTTTTTTAAGGAGCTATATTTCATGTTTAATTAAAATATTTTTTCATCTTACAGCATTTGCACTCGGCTAAAAATTCTGGGAAAGTCATTGCAAGAATTTCCTAAACTCTGAAGACCAGAACGTCACTTTTCAAGATTATCATTCAAGAGAATTCAGATATGTGATATAATTGTGTTAAAAATGATCTCATAAGGAGAGACAACTGTGATTAAAGTATTAAAAATTATTTGATGTTTTTTTATTTTATGAATTACTAGAGTTGTATTAATTATTTATATCACTTAAATTGAATAAAAGATTTAAACGTCTCTCAGTCATAAAATTCAGTTCTTTTTTTTCGTTTCATCGAAAAATTAAAATATTGAAATTCTTAACTGAAAAGGCAGTGGTCAAATTTTTCAAACATTGTTCTGTTTATTTTCATAATTTGTCTAAATTATAGTCGCAAAAATTTTCTTTTTTAGATTTATAGGTTTCAATCACGTAAGTTTGTTGTTAATAAAGGTAAAATCGAGAAAGAAAATAATTTTACTCAATATTTCTTAAACTCTACAAATATTCGTGGAATCTCATTATTTTCATTATTTATTGATGTATCCAAGATAAATAATAAAACATAGACTCTTAAAGATGCGTATTTTGCCAGAATCTTGAATTTTAAAAAGGATTAATTTTTTGCCTCTGTCTTTCCTGTGGAATATAATTTGCTGAATGTACAGTTAGTTGGCGTAAGAGCTAGATGCTACTAAGTTCATTAAATTTAACTTTAAAAAGACAAATCTTTCAGTTAAAAACTATTTCAGAACTTTTAACCGTGCTTTAAATTAATCTGATGCAGTAACGAATAACGATATTAACAAAAATTAAGGGAAAAGAGGTCACTAATTCCTTTGGATGTCATTTTAAAGCGTCATAATTCATATAAATGAAGAAAAAAAGCCCAGATCATGCCATATCAAATTACGCCTGCAGCTGATACAATAATTGCTTGACGGTAAAGAAAATAAATAAATCCATAAATAAAAATAAAATGAAAATTTTTGTTATTCATAAAAGAACAATGTGCTTTAAATTTAAGGTCGTGCAATTTTTGCGAGACCATAATTTTTTTTCTTTCTAAATTTGATCGGCTCTGTTCAAGACATCCGTAAAACATAAAATTGTCCTAAGATAGTCAGGAGAAATGCTTCCATAGAAATATTAGGAAGTAACTTTCTTTAACTTTCACGGCTATAGCTATCGTACAATAAAAACAGTACATACATACTTATGTTACTGTGCAGCATATTTTTACGAACTTACATTACAAGTAAATATCGTATCTGTCTGATACCTTTGAAGCTGGATTTTATAACAAACGGATGTTGCTATTCAAAACTGAAATTGTTTAGGTAGATGAATAACATGTTTAAACTCCGGTTTCTTACATAAACTAGAATTTTATCTGAATTTTTAACCTCAATGCTACATATGCTTTTGCTAAAGTTCATTAAATTCAAAATATTAAAGGAATGTTGCAATTAGGATAAATTATTTTATATGGGTATCTTATTTCAAATTTCGCACCTTTGAAAATCCATTTGTAAAGTAGTTTATTTTCTGCTTAATTCTTGTTTATACTAAACTTTGTTATTTATACGTAGACTTTCCAAGATTGTCTTTAAAATGTAAAGATAACTATAAATCCTAAAATGCTAAAGTCAGTCAATAAAATGATCTATATAAGTACTGTTTCAAAATGAGCTTACATTGAATTCCATGAAGTTTCTGACATAAACTTTAATTGTTACTTTCAATCTTATAACAATTTATCTTTCAAAAATAAACACGAGTACTAAGTATAGCCTAAAACATAGGAAACTATAACAAGATAGAACGAGGGAGAAGCTGGTTGGCTTGTTGTATTTATAGTTTAATATCGTGCGATTTAAAAGCGACTATTAGGCCAAAGGTAAAAACAAGTCCGTACTCAATCACTCAATGTGACAGAGACAAATAATATCGCAAATAAACTCTGACAGAAAAAAATATAATATTATTGTTTAGCTTCCCAGCCGTGAACCGTATTATATTTACTAGAAGAAGGTAAATTGTCAAGGGGAGGTTATACCTATAATATTCCTTTATACATTTCAATCACCATAATAAAGCAGATTGACTGATGTATTACTAATATACATATATATATATGGGTGATTCTCACGAAACATGACAATTCGAAATAAAAAAATTTCTTCAAATTTAAAGTCTTCAAAGCAATCTAAAATTTTTTTGTATACTTCTTTAGCTACACTTATTAATATCTTATAGACAACAGTGTAGTTTATTGACATTTGCTCGACAAAAAAAATAAAATAGAAATTCACCAAATCTTGAATGCCAGGAAAATGACATATTACCATAGAAGTTTAAAAAACAGTCATTTTAAGTTAATAGTAAGTAACTCAACTTAAGCCTTCATGTTAGATGGACCATAAATAGCTTAAATTAATTCTTTTTATCCACTGTAGAAAGAAACAAAAAAAATTTTGTTGCTGATCTGTGCAGAATAAAATTGTGTATAATATTCAATCATTAAATAAATAAATAACTTTGATTACATCCAAGCATATTACAATCATACATAATTTTAGTATTAGGTTAATACTTGCTTTCCCCCTTTACAGTATTAGCAGTTAAAAAGAATTTCTGGTAACACTTCAATGTCCTGGCATTCATAAGCCAGGAAAATGACAGCCAGGATAATGACAAATTCGCCGTTTTATAGCATATAACTTTAATATTTTGTCCGAAGACGTTTATATTCTGCAGAAAACAACAGTATTTCTTAAAAAAAACTCAGATAAATCTATGTAGTTTTTGTTATTAATGATTTCAAGAAGCCAGGAAAATGACAGCATAAAAATCTACCCACCTTGAAAAATTTTTTGAAATAGATTTTGAGCCAGAAAATTGGTTCTTTATTCATGCAACAAGACATGTTCAGATATGATTTTTATACTCGATAT